CGTCGAGGCGTCGCAGCCATCCCCCCCAACATCGCAACCATCATTACCGCTAGCCGACCTGGTTGGTCCATGCGAGGTGGAAGAACCTGGTGAGGACGTGCTGATGACACACACACCTGTGGAATATGCCGCCCCTCATGCACTAGGGGAGACAGTAGTCGAGGAGGAAACAGCACGGACATCGGCGGATGTCTTCCAGGCCATGGTGAACGACATGGAAGTCGACGACTTCATCCAACCTAAGAAACCCCTTAAACGCACACGAGGTGAGGCAACAGCGAAGACATGGGTAACAACGACCATGTACGAAGCACTGAGTATGGTGGACGTGTCGCCACAGCGAGTGACCATGCCGCAGGACGTCCCAGTGAAAGCGTATTGCATGGACATGCACATTCCTGCATCTAGTACGTTTCATGGACGCACGAGCATTCGTCGCATGCGAATTCGTACCAAACACATGAACTGGCACCCACTATGGCTGCAGTTTCACACACACAACAGACGGTGCAGCCCTTCCTAGACGAGGCTGGGGCTGAGGAGCTATGGAAATGGGTCTGCTCGGACCCCAACGCGGCGAACGTGACCCTAACGCGCGTGTTGTTGCACGACTCGGCAGCGCTGCGTACGCTAGCTCACCTTCATGCGTGGCATCGCTGGATGGTGGCAACTCGTCTGCCCCAAATCAGCTCGTTTCAGAGCAGTTTCGCAGCCGTCTTTGGTGTACACCCTACGGCAGCCTTTCTCGCGACGGCATTTGGACAGCATGCCAGTGTTCGTGCCTCGAGTCCACCTACTCTAGACGTGGCACTGCTCGATATCGAGCTCGCCTTGGCGGCATTCGAACTCATGGTAGCTACACAGTCCGCCCCGTACTTCTACAGTGAGCCATTACTAGTTGTTGTCACTCAACAGCCCGTCATCTGGTTCCCTGTGCACAAAACACACCCCATGTTGGCCTCGTACACGCTGTGGGGACTCTTGCATTCCACTGTGGGCCACCAAATTGTCGCCGACATGCGCAAGGACTGTCCCAGTGAGTTGCTCGATGTTCTGGCACTCCTTCAATCTCGGGAGTATCGGTACTGCGAGACTCAAATGGTCAAGTTCGATGTGGGGGCTGTTCCGACATTGTCGCTTGGAGCCCCATATTGCATGTAAGGGCACCGCAACCCCTGTTGCTGCAACGCCTGCTGCCTCGCATACATCAACCCCCCTTCTTCCGCATGCACATATGCCCCACAGATCACACCGACCTTCCCACCCCACCGCTTATGCGTCCACGGGACGTCCTCGGGTGCGCTCGGCATTCGACGGCATCATTACGTCGGAAATGTCAATTTGACGGCCAATATTAAAGGCTTCAAAGATTATGGGCACCGTTTGGCTGGTCAACTGTTGGCGCGACATACCGTGGTCGCGCTGCAATCCACACAGCCTCCACGGTCGTTGGAGTGAGATCATGTGTGAACGAGACTTTCGTCCCCCGTCGCGACGAGCTCGGGCCGCATTCTGCGCCTCATCACTAAACGGCTCACGGAGGAACAGCGTGATGAGTTGGACCGTCCGCTCTCGGGTGAGGAGCTCGCTGGTGCCATCA